TACCGGAGTTTTGCCAGTTCAACCGTTGCAATAACATCGAAATAAATACCTGTACATTACCGGGTGATTGTGATAACCTAACATGATATAATTAATGTATGTTCATTCATCTGGACTTAGTTGGACTTAGCGTAGCTGTTAAAGCGCTCGCTCGTCACGCTGAAGGCCGGGTCCCAACATGGGTACAGTGTAGGAAGCCAATTTCTGGTGCTCCCCCGCTGTGATATTGCTGAAACATTACTGAAGGCTTCGTTAAACCATACTCAATCATTCTATAGGGACTGCTGAAGGTAGCAATATAAAATGTTAAACTTGACAGCTTGAAAGGTAAATAATATGATGTACTAATTGGCACGTATCACATATAGCGTCAATATCACTGAACAAATGCCACGGTCTGTTCCTATTTATTGGATAATCCAGGTCAAAACACACAATCTCGTTACGGCGATAATCTCGTCAGTTCATTCATCCATTAATCCAGGTGACAACTCTGCAACAACGCATCTCTCAACTCCGTAGTTTTTACATTAAATAGCGGATCTCCCTTCTCAGTGAGGGGCTGCTGCTTGACCGACGCGTGATGATCAAAGGTCAGACGGAGACGTCACGGCCGTGAACAGCGATTAGGAGCAGACGAGACAAATGATGTCAGACGGCTGAATACATATTCACCCATGACGCGATACACGTCTGGAGAATATTTATCTGCTGTGACATTATTGGATTACAATGTGATGACAGTAGTATAAGTATTTGTTTGTTTCACCATCTTCATTCATTCGAGAGAACCACCGAGAGAAGAAAGTTGAGAAAATAATTTAGTATCTGAGATAGACTTGTATCCACAGTGACTCCATTAAAGCAGACAATCCACGCTGTAATCTGGATCCAACTGACGAGGTATGTTTGCCCGTGAACAGAACTCATTTATTGCTATTCAACATTTATCCGAACATGCTAAATTAGATATTTGTCCAAAACGGTGCGTTAGGACCATGTTATGACCCACTCAGAAGCTAAATTCATGTAGTTATTCCACGAAATGATTTATTGCACACCTTCTAAATAGTGTGTTCTTCTTAACAGCGCCTTGATCTACCATACTTGCACACCATGGCCCCCGATATCACACAAGTGGATATTGCTACCACCCACCCCATCGACATCCGGGTACCACCGACCCTCGTCGCAGATCCTGCCATCTTGGACCACTTCCCTGAGCTGTTCCAGCGAAAACAAGATCGCCTGACATGTTGTCACTTCCCGTCACGTGACAGCACGTGCAGAAGCAGTCCAAAGACGGACAAAAGCTACCCGGTCGAGCACTTGACCAACTGTGACAATGTTTTATATGGTGATACGTCAAATTATAATACGGATATGTCAGTATGTGGCAGGGGAGAAGCAGACGATCTGTTTGACTCCGAGTACGTGCTTCCCGACAACTGTCAGTGGTGGCAGCAAATGGACGATCTCTCATTTGAAACGCCACCTTGTGATTTTAATGTGGTGGATCTGCCTCACTTTGGGGACAGTCTGAATTATTCGAATCTTTGGGAAGATGTGGACACCTTTGTCAGTGTAGTTGATGCCATCGATTATGACGTCATACAGGAACGTGTATTACACGAGTCCGTTTATTGTCTAGACACGAGGAGGACAACAGTGTGGGGTCTAGACATTATCTGGGAGGAAGAGGAATAGCATTCCCTGCGAAGAAATATACATTGATATTTTTTAATAATATTTGCTTCATTTTAATAAAACATCGTTGAAACGTGAAATCGATTCCTTATCGTCTTTAAGAATTTTACAGACTCGTATGCACATGAAAACGACAAAACTCTTTCCATATGTACGATTTTGAATACAACATGAGTATGTGTTTGTTACTCCAACTGTGATGATACCAGGTCTTCGAGAAAAGGTAAGCATATCCTTCCCCATTGATGGCACTTGTCACAAATACATGCAAAGGAAAGTCAATTTATCACCCGAAAAAAGAACACGGGGACGTGTTGTAAGTCAAATTAGGTAATTACACTGGACACTGATGCGTCCATTTTGGAAATGTCCTTCGCTTACCTACCATAAAACGTTTGGTTTAACTGAAGCCTTGAATGTTAGGGGCAGATCAACTTTGGATCAAAGGTCGTATGATGCTCTTTGAAATAGTACCTCAAAAGTTGGGAAATGTAGATGCAAAAGAATGGCGCTGCTGAAAAGTTGCTCCACATAGAGGGAAAGCTGTACATCGCACATGTGTTTCTAAAAAAACTGAATAGAAAAAGTAAATTCTTCCCACAAAAGACCACGGTTACATGGAAACATGGCCATCTAGTAGAAAACATTCAAGTCACCTTTGTTCAAGTGAAATAAATTGAAAAAAATAAACAGACCAAGCTAATTAATGCCGTCGATGTGGACACTCTTTTGCGTAAGAATATGCATTGTGTAACCCGTCTTTCCCACACCGCCGTGATGTAGCGGGAATATTGCCAGAAGCGGCGTAAGACCATACTCACTCACTCTTTTCCACACAATCGCAAAGGAAAATGGTATAAATACCTTCCTAAAAATAACGAATTTGATATGTTAGAATATACCATGGATGTTTTATTACATAAACTTCCGACGTAAAACAGAATAAGTCTTGTTGCTAAGTCGTGACAAACATTTGGTATCATCACTATTTGATAGTGATTCCTAAACACATGCTCATCATATTGTGGGAATCGTACAATCGTCTGCTTTAAGCAGAGCTTTCTTATGAATGTGGAGAGGGTTTTGTCGCTTTTATTCCAACTGCATAAAGAAGATTAAGGTGGATTATCGATTTAATCCAGTGATGTTGTATTTGAACATACTGAAACGAAATTTAATAGCGACACCGACGATCATAAGAGGAATTAACCATACGAATTCCGATTAGATCTGTATTTAATCACACAGTCAAGTAGTTTCGCCTTTGTTTGGCAGGAGTACTGCTGTGTGGACAACAAACACTTACTTTTTCAAGCAAGTTGCGCGAGAGGTGGGTGCTGCCGGTAGGGCAAGACATGCTTACCCTTTCCGCGAACACCTGGTGCCATCACTGATTTTCAGGGGTCCATTCGTATAGTTTTCACATCTATTTTGCCTTTTAGGCCCAGTGGAATCTGTTTGGGCAGATAATGGAGACTGGTTATTCTTTGGCGTTGACGTTTTATATTTGCATAATCTCCCTGATTTAATTCCCCTTCCTGATTGGTGAGAATAAAGGATAGCATCCAGTTTATTTGTACTTTTTTCTGTATTCGGGCAGGGATATAGGGATATGGGTGTGAACACCCACAGACATGGTGTTTTAATGAGTTGTATAAATGCGTTGGGATCAATACAGCGTTAAATCACATTTCAGTTCTTTTTTTGGTGTTTCAGGTGAATGTTGGAGAAATGTCCGAAAACGAATACATTAGTATGGTGGTGACAAACCAAGAAGCATACTCAGGACGAATCTGGGATGTGAACCAAATAACATAATATTCTGGTACGCCCAAGGGACACAACTCTTCGTAGCGAAATGCTGAGATTTAGGTGACTGGGCTATCTGTGATCCAGATGTATGAATGGAGTTGCAAGATGTGATTTTCTAGATACTACCCGTCAAACGTTGGCTGAATTGGCACATTTTGTATGTTGTTTAACGTCGCACTTAGCAATATTCCAGCCATATGACGGCGGTCTGTAAATAGTTGAGTCAGGACCAGACAATCTAATGACTCATATGAGCATCACTCCACGTAATTGGGATACGATGACATGCATCAAACCAAGTAAGCAAGCCTAAACACCCGATCCCGTTAGTCGCCTCTTATGACAAGCATGGGTTGCTGAAGAACTATTCTAACCCGATTCTTCACGGGTAATTTGGCACAGTAGTTCAATGATAAGAACCAGTTCCTCACCACGACGAGATGATTCAATTGCATTATCTCCTAAATGTCATTATTATGTTTAAAACAGTGTTTGGAACTGAAGAATACCTTTTGGAACCACATTGGTATATATATGGAATCGCAATTTCCAAATTAAGATGCACATCACATGTATTGAATATCGCAACAGGAAGATCTATCAAAATCTCGAAGGAAAGTTGACTGTCTATACTGTGTTCTCACATGTCCATTTTATCAAAGTCTACCTTGCACATACCTAGCTTCGTGTTTGTACCACTATCCGAATAGCTTTACGTTTAATGAAGTAATGTCAAGATCCGGGGTCTTCAGCAACCCATACTTGCCGTAAAAGGCGACTATGTTTGTCGTAAGAGGCGACTAACGGGATCGGGTGGTCAAGCTCGCTGACTTGGTTGATGCATGTCATCGATCCCAACTAAGGGATCGATGCACATGATGTCAATCACTGGATTGTCTGGTCCGGACTCGATTATTTACAGACCGCCATCATATAGCTGGAATACTGCTGAGTGAGGCGTTAAACAACAAACAAACAAAGTAATGTCGTATGTAAATATCAATGCATAAAAATCCTAAACATCGTATATATTTCATGCAATGAAGTGAAGAAATGATAAGACAAGTGATATAAACAACTAAAAAATAATTTCTGTACATCTGTACCGATGTACTATAGACCTGTGAATATTTCTGCAATAAAGACTTGAAATCACAATTGCTCTCACTTTAATACGTACATTTGCATACACCCATTCCCTGACCAAAAGTTTTCTTGATGCACAAAAATCACAATCCACGAGAAAGCAAATACGTAAGGAATGACCCCTAATTACGGGTACACCTGAACGATGAAAGCATGGAGCACTATTATAACCATTATTGACGACAGTCGACCCATTCAGGACAGCGAGAAACACGGACTGTTGACTGACCAACGCGTCAGGTAAAATTCTCACATTTACGTTTAGGCTTATCTCAATCAGCAAAACCGTGATGGGCATGCTGCGAGGTCCACATTTCTGCTGGTATCGTTAGAAAAGACAGCCAGTGATACTTCCTTCAGAACAACGGGGCCCGTGATTGATGCAAGGAGATTGGTCGTGACGATGTGACGTAGTGGCATGACGGGTGCTCTATTACATAAACTCAGTCTCCACGTGACGCATTAAGACCCGAGGACGTTAGCAAGTATTTGGAGTCAGGTATACCGGCAACTGACGACAGTGACCGCCGAAAGAAGTATTTGTCCCTGACATTTTTCAACCGCTGGAGAAATCTAAATCCAGATGCTTTAGAGCTAGCTGATTGAAGGTAAGCATGTAAATCTGTGACTTCTCTCTGTCATGATCCGATCTATGTACTTCGCTTGTCAAGACCTGATGCTGCTTTCTTGATCCAAACGAAATCAATAACCATTCAACAATGTGTTTAACCCCATGGTGCATATATTTCTAAATAGGGTATGTATGACAGACTGAGGTTTCATTTGCCGTCCTCTGTGCTTGGAGTTTCGTCCCTTGGCCATGCCCATATTTGCTTGTCGTGGGTTCGACTCCCAGATTCAGCCCAAATGCGAACCATGACCGTGGGTTTCACTAAACGCTATAAACGTTTGCGACCTTTATAGTACAGCTGAAATACCATTAACTGTGACGATTTATATTCTCTCACGTTTTCGTTTCCAGACCGAGCTGTCAATACATCCCCTCACCTAACATTCGGGTATCGTCGATGATTACATATCCAACCGTCTCGAAAAGCTTCGGAGATCACAAATCAGAACCCTGATATCACGTAGCAGATCCTGTAAAAGTAATTCCAAAACACCATCTTATCTGCAATGCTTTACAATGACGCCTCAAGAATCGTGTCCACATCTGAAGACGTCTTGAGTGGAAACACACCGGAAGCCCAACCCAAGGGTCACGTGGACGTGCGAGAGAAGTGGGAAGCAGACGATCTGTTCGACTCCACGTACGTCCTTCCCTCCAACTGTGAGTGGTGGCAGCACATGGCGGATCTCTCACATGATGAAAGCCACAGCGACTCTGACGTGATGGATCTGTACGCTGGGGAGTACTTCAACTATTCCAGCCTGCGGGACGATGTGGACACTGCAGATGACGTCAACGAGGATCGTGCTGTTCCCGAGCGTGTGTACCACCTGGACACGAGGTGGACAACAATATGGGGTCTGGACATCATCTGGGAGGACGAGAACGAAAAGAAAATCTAGTCTCGTGGGAGACGTTACAGTGAGGTGTGCATGGTCTGTACATGGCATCATTGTAATAAAGGTTCGTTCTCATGCCATTTTGTTCTCAGTGTATTTGTGAACAAAAGTTGAGTAATCTCATCGTATTTAGGATGCTTTTGGCCTTTGTTCATACCAGTTGCTATAGGAACAGACGCATGTAAAATCACGACTTGGGTACACTGACCCCAAATAATTTGGTCTTTGTTAACTTATGGCTGATGTAACACCAGCGGACACACAGCCGTATTTACAATTACAATTTAAGACACAGCATTGAGACGCTTATACATTTTCCTTAAAAGGGTAACGTTACCCTGGTAGCACAGTGACATAATAGGTCACGGTTGTCATACGCAACATGTGATGCTGTATCACGGCGTCCTGTCGTGATAATAAGACTTGACCAGACAAACGTGGTTTCCCCGCGGAAGGCACAGCACAATTGGCTAAAGAGAGATTGATGTGAAGTGTTTACTCATACGCCATCTATGGCGCTGCATTTCGTCGTGTGGTTTTCCTTAGGCGAGCTAGGATCTACCTGTCATTAGTTCGAATCCCAGATTTTCCATGTTATTGATTGCGGTTTGTAGGCACCATACATGTGCACGCTTTACCAAAGGAATATTTACGAAGATGTATATAAACCTCGCTTGATTCTGTCCATCACAACTATAGTTTTGACAAGAGTCAAAAACTCGTAAATATAAAACGTCAACGCCAGTATATAATCAGTCTCGAATACCCGCTGAACAGATTCGAGTATCCATTGGGCAAAAGGAAATATTATGTTGAAATGAATGAATTCAGTGAGACAAGGTGTTCACGAAAAGGGAAAGCATGTACTTCCCTACGATTTGCATTTAAAAAGTAAATGTTTTTTTGCTTCACGCAATAGTCCTGCGGCTTGTAAACAATCGGGTCTTGACCAGATAGTCCAGTGACCCGATCTCGCATTTACTGTAAACTACAAACGATGTGTTCATTTTGCTGCGTACAAGTGGAGACAAAAAATTTAAAGGGAGGTATGTTCGTTTTGCAACACAGTGGGGGGAGTTTGAATGTCTTGGTCCAACCATAATTTATTCAAGATGAACAGGTTTCAGAGAGAAATATATATATAAAAAGTTTTAACTCTCCCATAACTCTATATCTAGAGTAGTTTAAGTCTGTACGTATTTGTAAAAGAAAATGTGTTGCGACGTTAACGACATATGTTTGTCCGCCTAAGACATCACTGTAAGCTTTCCTGACACGTAAAGCTCCCTTGCCTCGATAACAACCAACTCAGTATCTTACTTTCACTGAAGAGACTTTCGAAAAAAAGGACGTCTCAAAATACACACGTCGCTCCAAGAATAAGAATCACGAAATATCGCGATGATGGACTGATGAAAATAGCTGCATGTGCGCTAATACTTATTAAGTGAAAACAGGCCACCCCGGCCTAAGGAATATTACTTCCAGTAATGACAAAAATTGCTCGCAGTCAACTGACTGCCGGTCCTCAGTCGGAATGTAACCACGTGATCAAATCTCAGAGATGATAATTATAGCCTGCAAAATGGATATTTTCTTGAAAAGCACACTTTGCATTTTTTGTTATTACTGTAAGTAATATAAGAACACCAAATCTATATCCTCAATTCGTAATGTGGGATTAAATAGATGACTGGCGAAAACAATATATTATTATATTACGTAATGTCACATGTACAAACTCACACAATTAATAAAACAAAAGGTTCCCCGGCCCCTAATAGAAGCCTCTCGGGACACCTCACTCACTCACTCACTCACTCACTCACTCACTCACTCACCCATCTATTCCCTTCTAATATACTTTGTCTTCTAAAATTCACTCACTCACTCACTCACTCACTCACTCACTCACTCACTCACTCACTCACTCACTCACTCACTCACTCACTCACTCACTCACTCACTCACTCACTCACTCACTCACCCATCTATTCCCTTCTAATATACTTTGTCTTCTAAAATTTCTGACGAGATCCTATTTCATCTTTTTGCTCCATACCTACTCATACTCGCCCCGTATTTATCAATGAGGGGGCACGGGTGGCCCAGTCGTCTAAGGCGCCGCGATTCGCTGTGCAGAGTTGCGTCCCTTGGGCATGCCAGAAATCTATGATTGTGGGTTCGAATCCCTAGTTTCTAGGTTTGTCAGCACCATACCCGTGCTCGTGGGTTTCACTGAAGTGGTAAACGTCTGAGACCTGCATTACTTCGGGCTTTCCTCCCACATGAAGCTGTCACGCCGCGATATAACTGGAATACTGTTAAAAGCGGCGTTAAACCCAACTCACTCACTCACTTTATCAATGACTGTAACAATTACGTTCTCAAGTGATTAATATCCTATCATTAAGCGCATTTATGAATCGTCCTTGGGATTTTGTCATCGTTCATATTTCTAATTCTGAAAAGCTAAAAATCTATGTAAAAATTCACAGAGCAGAATCTCCAGCCAATGTCAGTCCCTTTGTTTTTGGCTTCATCGAGGGCACACACCCATGTTTTATTCTATAATACGTGGTACGGGTATAGGTACAGGAAAAACTCCGGGAATTACACATCTTGGTCCTTTACACATACATGTATATTATGCAATGGTCATATCTGAATTCATTACAGAACGACTTGCTTATTTAAAAGTAATCTATGCTGCCCTATGTTGGCCGATCCACGAAACCTTCGTATCGCTACGACTGTCGAATGTTTAACATAGACTTTCGACTGCAAAATATATATAATTCACTCACTTGGGATATTAAGTTTTCTTTTCTTGATATTTAGTTACATAATTTGCCAACGCAATGAAATCATAGTATCTAAGATAATTAAATTCGACTAATTGGAGTTTGTCGCATATAGCGTCAGTATCAACAAACAAACGTCACGTTTGCGTCGGGTCGTCTGATTGAGTAATCCCGGCAAATAAACATAATCTCGTCACGTTCATATTAATCGTGAATTGATGACAACTCTACAACAATGAGTAGATCTCTTAACTCCGTAGCTTTGACAGTAAATAACGGATCTCTCTTCTCAGTGAGGAGCTGCGTGCTTGACCGGCGCGTGACGGTCAGAGGTCAGACGGCGACGTCACGGCCGTGAACAGCGATCAGTAGCAGACGAGACAAAAGATGTCAGACGGCTGAAAACACGTTCACCCATGACGCGATACACGTCTGGAGAATATTTATCTGCTGTGACATTATTGGATTACGATGTGATGACAATAGTATAAGTATTTGTTCGTTTCACCATCTTCATTCATTCGAGAGAACCACCGAGAGAAGGAAGTTGAGAGAAGAACTTAGCATCTGGGTATTTAGACTTGAAGTCTTGTATCTCAGCAAAATACTTCGCACCATTCTACCGTACACCTAGACTGACCAGGTATGTTTTTGCGTGCGTTCATCTGTCCTACCTTTACTGCATGTAATGTTTCACTGAAACAAGTTATGTTTCACAGAAAGTCGGTAGAACAATCGCTTTACCAGATATCGAAAAAAATGTTGATACCTATTACTCGATAACGAATCTTCTCAATCTTAAAATGTATATACGGTCTTTTGTTTTAGATCTCTCCTACTCGTTCACTATGACACCTGACATCGCCGCCGTCTCCGACATCCGGGTTCCGCCGATCTTCATCACTGATCACGCCGTGTTGGACAACTTCCCAGAACTGTTATACACCAAGCAGGGGAGCCTAGTAACCTTCAGTCAACCCCACCCCTTCGGGAGCAGTCCCAAAACGATTGCGATCTCGAGACAGGAAAATATCTCCTCCCTAAACATGTTGTCCAGAGATACAACTTTGTTACCAGACGCGACCTTCACTGAAGACTTTATAAAGGAGAACCCAACAGGCGAGAGTCCAGTGTGTGACAGAGGTGAAGCAGACGATCTGTTTGACTCCGAGTACGTGCTTCCCGACAACTGTCAGTGGTGGCAGCAGGTGGAGGATCTCTCTTTTGAGGCGCCACCTGGTGATTTTGATGTGGTGGATCAGCCTCACTTTGGGAACAATCTGAATTATTGCGGTCTTTTGGAAGATATCGATGATGACGTTCCAGAGGAACGTGCAATACACGAGACCGTGTATTGTCTTGACACAATGAGGACAACAGTTTGGGGTCTTGACATCATCTGGGAGGAAGAAGAATAACTGCGAAGAAATTTTCATTGACCTTTTGTAACATATTCCTCATTGTATTAAACTTCGTCCAAATGTGTGAAATCGATTTCTTTGTATTTGCATTACAGAATTACATTGCATCTCAGTGAAACAAATGTTAAAAATAAAGCACAAAGCTAACAGAAAGGTTCTTCTAACCGGAAACGTTTTTGCATCAAGTGAAAATTATTAAATAGATAAGAATATGCATGCTGTAACCGTCTTTCCCACACGGCCGTGATGTTGCTAAGACATTCACTCTACCCCCCTATCGGAATTAACAATGGTATAAAGAATTGTTTATTCTGAAGTCTCACATTCTGTAAACACATATCATGCAAATTGGATCCTTGTTGGTACAAAAACAGATTTAAAGTACAATGCAGTAACATGCAAAACATGCAGTAAAGAGATGCATAATCAAGATTGTTGATCACGAAGCCGAACATGAATAACCTCCCGTGACAATTAACCGTGTTGTAAGTGGTAGAATTTTTATTGTTATAAGGGGCTTTGTCGTCGCAAATGGCGGTATTTTGAGCACGGAATATGATCATAAAGTATGCCAGAGGCATTCTGCATTTACAAAATGCATCTGGCTTTTTTCCCCTCCTCCAACCCTGGACTTTGGGCTGAAATATCCGTAATCCTAATTATAAAAAAAGCCTGGCCTCAGTAAAACGTACAGTAACCACCATAAAGATAATCAAAACACTTTGGTATAAACACCATTTAAATCAAAACAACAAATACAAGCGCACGTTTTCTCGCACCCACATACATGCACATCACGCATACGTACGCACACATACCCACATTCAGGTAACACCTACTCCCCCATCCTGCCACACCCCCACCTCCTCATCCATCCACACACACATAGGTTCACACGAGCCAACGCATTAAGATAGGTCTTTGAAAGGCAGTAAGATACTTACTTACGTACATTCATATTCGTGTACGAGTGCCACATGTTTTTTTATGCACACACACACACACGCACACACTCATACATCACATATAATGTCGACCACAATCACATTAAGTAAAATACTAGCTAAGATATACACAACATATCATAATTTCCAACAAATACTACGCATGTTCTAACAAGGGCAATAACATAGTACATGTAAAACGGTCAAGGAAATAGTTGACGTCGAGATATGGTTGAAACGGTGTTACAAAGTTTATACAGATGGCGTATTTAAGAGGTGCATGAACTGACTGATAAATCTAAGACTAATGAATTTCGTAGGTCAACCATATAAGGATGTTTTTATTATTTAAACACCCCGAGTGAGAGCAGTATAAAATCATAGTGCAATATTAACTGCAGGGGAAAAGAAAGTATACATCATACAAGTTTAATTGTGACTAAAAATGAATCAAACAAGAGATGGTTATCGATGGTGATGTAGCTGATGCGAGTATCACAGCTGTGTGCTGGACTTGATCTTTGCAGTGTTTCGGCGACTGTTTTCAGGCTAGTAACGTGTTGATAACGTTTTGTAATATTTTGGTCAAAGCCAAGATTGAAGTGTATATATTTTACTTTCTTTTGCCCGGCAATTGAAGGTGATAAGATTGTATATTTTACGAGCGCTTTCGGAGGCCCCGATTTCACAGTGTGTGGGCCATCTGTGCCACCCACAGAAGCATGAATGACGTAAGATGTGCTTGTCTAGAAACAACCTGTTCTGAGTTGGCTATGTACTTTAATAGCTAACATCCATTTTGATGCTACGATGCCGAGATTATTCCAAAGACCGGAAATTTCAAATATGAAGCAGTTTACAACACTAAAAAATTGTGGTATGTAGTATGGGGTAGAATATCAAAGGGGGAGTGATTTTTTTTATCTCATATCAAGTTAATATTTTGTTTTCGTAAATGTTAGTTTTGCTTCTTTCACTCTAACTCTCAAACTTTTAACGATTAAATTGTAATATTCTCGTTATTTTACTGTCCATCGATGTCAGGTTTTTATTTATTGATAATATATAATAACCTCTCGTCACGATATGGCCGATGTGACGTTAAATTTTAACTCACTCACTAACTCTCAAACATTGGTAAGACTGTTCGGGTTCGATTCCCGACATGGGTACAATGTGTGAAGCCCATTTCTTGTGTCCCCCGCCGTGATATTGCCGGAATATTGCTAAAAGCGGCGTAAAACCATACTCAGTCAGTGGTAAGACTGTTAGTGTAAATCACTGAGTCAAGTACACAGAAATGAACGATTATAGATGGAGCACCGACCATTGTTCACGGCACTCCTCCAAATCACTAGAACGAGAAACACGGACTGTTGACTGACCAGCGGAAGCCTTTCCGAGAGTTGAAATTGTAACATTTACGTTTGGGCTTATCCAATCAGCAAAACCGTGATTGGTGGACACAAGGAAGGGCATGTACGAACGACACATTTCTGTTGGTATCAATAGAAAAGACAGTACGCAATACCTCCTTCAGAACGTGGAGACATTGATTGGTGTAAGGAGATTGGTCGTGACCATGTCACGTTGTGGCATGACGGGTGCTCTATCCACGTGACGCATTAAGAACTGAGGACGTCGTGAGCAAGGCTTCATCGGCTGTTTGTAACAAGAGTGATCAGTGAAATACATTCTGTGTAGAAATAAGTATTCGTTCCTGCTTTTTTCAGACTCTGAGGAAAACTAAATCAAGTTACTTTAGATTCAGCTGATTGAAGGTAATCATTTGAAGGTTCTGTCGTGATCAATGTGTTTTGATGTGACTGTGCTTCTCATACCACCTATTTAACCCTTGCCATCGGCCTTCTCGTGTAAACTTTTCACGGGGGACTCGCAGTGTCCTGTGCAGTGTTTTTACATTCCGTCCTCTGTGCTTCGTCCCATGTGCGCTTGTCGTTGTATCGACTTTTAGATACACCACGAATATGAGGCTTGGAAGCTGGTTTCACCAAAAGTGATAAACGTTTACGACTTTTATAATACACATAAAAAAAAACTGTCAAAAGTGCGCTCTTACATTGTCCAACGCTTCTCTTTCCAGAACAAGCCGTCAGAGACGTAACATACATCTCCACCATCGACGATTACATATCCAGCTATCTTGAAAACCTCTGAGATCACAAATCAGAACATTTACATCACGTAGCAGATCGTGTAAAGGTAATTCCAAAACACCATCTTATCTGCAATGCTTTACAATGATGCCTCAAGAATCGTGATCGAAAACCTGTCCACATCTGAAGACGTCTTGAGTGGAAACATACCGGAAGCCCAACCCAAGGGTCACGTGGACGTGCGAGAGAAGTGGGAAGCAGACGATCTGTTTGACTCCACGTTCGTCCTTCCCTCCAACTGTGAGTGGTGGCAGCACATGGCGGATCTCTCACATGATGAAAGCCACAGCGACTCTGACGTGATGGATCTGTACGCTGGTGAGTACTTCAACTATTCCAGCCTGCGGGACGATGTGGACACTGCAGATGACGTCAACGAGGATCGTGCTGTTCCCGAGCGTGTGTACCATCTGGACACGAGGTGGACAACAATATGGGGTCTGGACATCATCTGGGAGGACGAGAACGAAAAGAAAATCTAGTCTAGTGGGAGACGTTACAGTGAGGTGTGCATGGTCTGTACATGGCATCATTGTAATAAAGGTTCGTTCTCATGTCATTTTCTTCTCATTGTATTTGTCAACAACAGATTACGAATTTAATCGTATTTATGATGCTTCTTGTGCTTGTCAAAAGGAATAGACAAATGCATGTGTATCCCACCTATCCCACTATGCCATGTCATGATCAGATGGAGTGACTTAGTGTGGTTTTACGCCGCTTTTAGCAATATTTCAGCAATATCACGGCGGTTTTCAGGTCTTTGTAACAAGGAAGACAGTTTAAGACAGATTTAAGATCAATAACGTTAACCTTGTAGCAGAAAGGCCTTTAGTAATATTTGAGAATGCAACATGTAACAATATTCCAGCTGTATCCTGGCGTCCTGTTAATGATAAGCCTTGACCAGACAAACAAGTGGTATACTGCATTGCAAGGACCTACTTGCCGTTACAATGACACCATCATATTTCGTTTGTTTGTTGTTTATCGCCGCACTAAGCGATATTCAAGCTATATGATGGCGTTCTCTAAATAATTTAGTCTTGACCAGACAATCCAGTGATTGACATCATGAGCATCGATCTACGCAATTGGGGTAACATGACATGCATCAAGCAAGTTTGCGAGCCTGACCCCCGTACCCGTTAGTCGCGTTTTACCGTTGCCGAAGACCTGTTCTAACCCGGATAGGTCGTGTGCTGCGTTAAACAACAAACAAACAAACCTGTTATTTCGTTCAGTTTGGGTTTGGCAATGTACGAACGCTACGTACTCTAAGCACGCTTCTAATTATAGCCGCTTGCTGTCAGCTGACTACCGACACTTCCCTGTATTGCAACTTCGTGATCAAAAGTCATTTATCGCCAGCAAAAATGGATGTTTCTTAAAAAGCGCAAATTATGCAATTACTGTAAGTAATATTTGTTATCGCCGGAATGGCTTGTTTTCACTTTATAAGCACGCATGCAGTTGTCTTCGTCAATTATTAATAATCGCGAAATATCGTGATCCTATTTGAAGTAGTGAGGACAACAGTGGCAGCAGTTGCAAGAAGCGGCTGTAAAATATGAATATTATAAAGTGTTAAAGTCTTTTCCCCAGGTTGAATATTGTTGACAGGCTATAAAGGTAACGGAAAATGCCTGCTGTAGCAGTTTAAAACCCGACCCTCACACCAGAATAGTAGAAAAGAATCAAACTTCCAGAACAGAGTACCGGTAACAGTAGTTGCAAGAAGCGGCTGTAGCATATGTAAAGAAGAGTTACTAAAAAGCTTCTTTGGTTGACCATTGTTGACAGGCTGTAGAGGTTATGCAAATGTTTGATTCCAACACAAGAATAGCAATGACAACTAGTATGGAACTTTTTCATCAACGCGAGCCTAGGATAGTTACAATTATGGCAACAAAACTCATTGATTTATCGCTTGCAAAATATATATTTCTTGACAAGCGCACTTCGTATATTATGCCATTACTGCGTGACTGACAGTAATATTTGTTATATTTTGCCCAGCGGAGTAAGTGTCGGCTTTGCAAAACGTCCAAGCACAAGGAGGGAAGGTACCAACTCTGCAGCATTACATTGGTCCAGCTTTAACATCCTTATCTTCCGCACTTGTTTCAGTACTGACTGTTTATATCCTGTTAAATATTTTAACATCACCCCCACCTCTTTTCGCACAGAACTCCAGCCAGTGTCACCCATCGTAGCTAAACTGAAGTTCCCTTGCCTTCTTCGAAGGCATACTTTAATGCTTTATTCTGTAATACCGATACATTTCTTCAGGTATAAATCCGTAGGACATGCTCCGGGAATTATACATCTTGGTGCCGTTGTTATATCTGAATTTAGGATATGATACTGCTTGGGCACGACTTGCCTTTTATCAATCTCCTGCGCTGTTCTATGTTGGGCCCCGATCCACAGAACGTTCGTAGCGTTACGACTGACAAACATATAACTTGACATAGGCTTTCTCCTTTGCTTAATTTAGATTTTCGACGGCAAAATTTAAAATACTTAAGGTTAGGATCACTTTCTCTAGATTTTCGTGATATTTACAGTCACGTGATCAGCCAACGTAATGCGGTCATGGTATAAAAGATAATTCCATTCGACTTATTGGCTGTTACTAGAATGTCAAGACCATGCCCCAGCCCGGGTTAGGTTAAAACTAGAATTGCAGTTAGATCCGCTATCTGTCATAGATCTCCTAAAGCCAAGAGATGCAATAGCGAAGGCCAAACTAACTCGATTTCTGAGAGATGGACAGCTGCTCGAACGTATATAAACAGAGCAGCCAAGGATAAAAATGAAATCCTATCAATATAAGAAAATAGAAATCATATCAATGCAAAAACAGAAATTATGTGAACACCGAACTCACAATAGATATGTGAACCCTTCTCACACACAGGAGTCCCAAAGAGGGACAGGTAAGCCGAAATTGCCTAGGCAGAAGGCGACCTCTTAAACACCTAATGCAACAACAACAACAACTTATTGGCGTTTGTTGCATATGGCGGTAATATCAACAAACAAACGTCACGTTTTTGCCACTGCCTCTGGCGCGAGATTGCATGAATGAGTAACCCCGGCTAATGAACTGTGACAGTCTCGTCAGGCTCATATCAATCGCGAATTGAAAACAACTCCACATCAACGCATCTCTCAACTCCTTTGTTTTGACAGGAAATAGGCGGGTCTCCCTTCTCAGTGAGGAGCTGCGTCCTTCACTGGCGCGTGACGGTCAGAGGTCAGACGGCGACGTCACGGCCGTGAACAGCGATCAGGAGCAAACGAGACAAATGATGTCAGACGGATGAATACACGTTCACCCATGACGCGATACACGTCTGGAGAATATTTATCTGCTGTGACATTATTGGATTACGATGTGGTGACAATAGTATAAGTATTTGTTCGTTTCACCATCTTCATTCATACGAGAGAACCACCGAGAGAAGGAAGTTGAGAGAAGAATTTAGCATCTGGGTATTTAGACTTGAAGTCTTGTATCTCAGCAAAACGCTTCGCACCGTTCTACCGTACACCTACACTGACCAGGTATGTTTCTTAAGTGCCTTCATCTATCTGACATTTGCTTCATGTCTGATTCACTGAAATTTTTCAAAATTTAAAACGTTTTTTCTCATTCGGCTATGTATCCTAAAGTCTGAAAGTGTCTATATTGGCTCTTCATTAAATTTGGCAGTAGGTTTGGGTTTTTTTATGTTTTAGAAATATTGAAACTTGAAATATTGAATTTTTGTTTTCTTTGCAGTGCCTTGATCTAATATTTGCGTTCACTATGGCACCGGACATCACTACCGTCTCCATCGACATCCGGGTTCCTCCGATGTTCATCACAGATCACGCCGTGTTGAACAACTTCCCAGAACTGTTTTACACCAAACAAGGGCGCTTGGTAACATTCAACCAACGTCTCAGAAGCAGTCCCCAAACGATTGCGAACTCAAAAGAGGAAAATATCACCTGCCCCGACACGTTTTCAAAAGATACAAGTTTGTTACCAGATATGACCTACACTGAAGACTTCATAAAGAAGGGCTCATCAGGCGAGACTCCAGTGTGTGACAGAGAAGAAGCAGACGACCTGTTTGACTCCGAGTACGTGCTTCCCGACAACTGTCAGTGGTGGCAGCAGGTTGACGATATCTCATTTGAAGCGCCAATTGGTGATTTTGATGTGGTGGATCTGCCTCACTTTGGGGACAATCTGAATTATTCCGGTCTTTGGGAAGATGTGGACACTTTTGTCAGTGTAGCTGATGCTACCGAAAATGACGTCACAGAGGAACGTGCGGTTCACGAGCCCGTGTATTGTCTGGACACGAGGAAAACAACAGTGTGGGGCCTAGACATCATCTGGGAGGACGAAGAACATAACTGTGAAATATTGGAATGAAAATATTCTGTGTATATGTGTGCGTCATATTGTAATAAATAATGTTTATTATAAGTGTGAATCTGAGTTCTCTTTGGTAACAACCCGGGAGTTTAGTTGGATATATTCTCTCTATAGTATTTGTTTTATTACATTAGTTAAGGAATTAATTTCAATAAGGTTGGGGCATTTACGGGGAATAAACATTGTCCCAAAAATGCGACAGCAACCTATGCTTGTCGTTATAGGCGACTAACCGGTTCGGGTGTTCAGACTCGCTGACTTGGTTGATGCATGCCATCGTATCCCAGGTGCGTAGATCGATGCTCTAACCACTAACGTCGCTCATACTTGGTTAAACCTACATGTTATTACTCAGCTACCACAACGTTAGGGAACTCCCGATGTTTAATGAGGTATGTGTTCTATGGTGAGTAGTATTTCCAGCTTATGTCTAGACTTTGTAAGTAGAGTTCTGTGAAACTGTGACAAGTTAAGGTAAGCTTTTACTGCTGGGCTGATGCTTCAAATCATTCTGATCAGCAGGTAAAGTTTTCCCTTTATGACTTTAACATTCGTTCGTTCGTTCGTTCGTTCATAAAGAGTATAAGAATCGGTTTATCACTTTCATAATTCACATGTCCAATGACATGCTATACCTCTGCGGATGGAGTAGCAATGTTCGGTAGGCCCATGTTATTACTTACATGGGAGTGTATATCAGACTCCGTGTATGTTCATACGATCGACATGCTCGGCTTTACGTTGCTTGCTTACAAATAAACGAGCAACGAGCGTTTCTAATTACGGCGCCCTTTTCTTTCTGGATATACAGGCAACGTGAGTGCCTTATGTGAAACAGTGTTGAACATGGTTTCCTGCCAAGACCTCAGTTCCCAAATCAGATGGAGCCTAGTCACAACTGCGCGAGGGGGCACACTTGTCTTCTATCATGTCTAAAAAACAAAGGAGAGCAACGGTAAACCAGGGTGTCAATAATATTATACATGTACCTTGACAAAATAACGCAAGTGACTCTTCTTCACTCAGAAGAAAAGAAACACGGACAATCGGGATCCGTTATGACGAGACCACTATTTATCATCCAAAACTGGCTCCCACAGGAGATATCGCTTGGATATCGC